GCCAAAATACATCTAAGGGGAAGGGGAGGGAAGCTACATGAGCAAAGGAAGGGGCAAGGAAACACCTGAAAGAGGGAAAGGGAGAGTAAACATGCCCAAGAGAGGGTAGGAGGAGGGGAAACATACGTAGGACAGGGGAGGGGGGAGGGGGTAGGGGATTTCAGGAAACACATGAGAGTCGGGAAGGACAGGGGAAACTCACCTGAGAGAGGAGAGGAGTAGGGAAAATAAACCAAAGGGAAGGAGGAGGAGAAACACAATGGAGAGAGAAGAGGAAGGAAAAATACACTGAGGAGGAGAGAGAAGGAAAAAACCCTGAGAAAGGGGAGAGGGAGGGAAAACATACCTGAGAGAGGAGAGGGTGAAGCATCCTTCTCCTTTCTGCGAGCGAAGACAGAGCCGATGGATATGGGGTCGTTCTCATCTTCCTCCTTTAGGGTAAAACTCCCAAGCTTAATTGCCTTTGGGGCTGTGGGTGTTGTCTCCTGCTGTGGGAGAAAGACCGAAAATGAGATTTAAAAAAAAAAAAAAAAAAAAAAAAAAAAAAAAAAAAGGGTTAATGTTAAATAACTTAGAAATGCAAAGAAAGAGTTTTAATATATAAAGCTGTCTATTTTCTAGTGTTTAGAAAAAGGAAACAAATGAGGAAAGATGGAAGAAAAAGAAATGGAAAGAAATAAAAGAAAAATAGGAAAACTAAAAACAATAACAACAATGATAAAACCAATTATGAAAATAATAATAATAAAACAACAACAATAATAAAAACAACAACAATAATAATAATAATAATAATAAACATGATGATGATAATAATAACAAAAAAAAAAAAAAAAAAAATAATAATAATATCAACAACAACAATAATAATAATAATAATATAATAATAACAATAACAATAATAATAATGACAATAATAATAATAATAATAATAATAATAATAGATCATTAGTCATCCTCATTATCATAATAACAGTATTAAAAATTAGCAATAGAAATAAACAGTGAGAAAAGAATTAGGCTACTTTCATCAAAAGGTAGCACGTCATATTTGAAAACAAACATCCTTAAATATAGGAAACCATTCATACAGACATAGCATGGCATCGCACTCAGATTGCACTTGGCACATGTGACATGCCATGCCAATTAAGTGTGAGAGAATTCATATATTTGCAGATGTTTGTTTTCAAATGACATGTCATGTGGGACATGCTACCTTGGCGTGGAAGCAGCCTTACAAAGTTATATAAGAACAATACTGTAAACACAGTTATGGTAACATTAACTGCCTTCATTCTACGCTACAAGTAAGAAGATATTCCAGAACTACTTAACAAAACTAGTAGGCTAACAGTGATGCATAACACATTAGTTAAAGACGTGGTGAAAATCAAAAGTCATAGTTTAGCAGAGCAGGAGATGCAAGATAGAAAGGGATAAGAAATACTGATATCATGTGGTAATCAGGAACACTTATCCCAGCAACTCAATAACAAGCCATGTGAATCAATCTCATTAAAGACTGATAAGACCCAAGAGTATAGCAGCTGCAGAATGTGCAGCAATGTTGACATAATAAAAATAAACACATTAAATAAAATGAAAATATAATATATGAATAAATAAATAAATAACCAATACTAACTCTACAATCAAAACGGGAGCCTTCTATGTGTGCTCAGCACAGCTTGTCTACCCTACTCCACCCAGGCCTACAAAAGTAAGATGACTTGGCAAACACATGTAGACCAATATGAATAATATACAAAAGGCTGATTCCCTATTACTTGTTCAGTGAGTTCATCAAGACAGCCCAAAATGTTAATATTAGAAACAAATAAATGTGACATCAGAGGTCATGTAGCACTATGGTAAAGTATTGTGTCATAAAGGGTAAAGAGGAGTTAAGGGGGTAGAATGATTAAGTGAATTGCAGTGTATATGTGACTGGGGAAGGAATAGGGATATTGTTCAAGGAAAACAGAGGAGACTGTTGGAGAAGTTGGAGAAGAAGAATCCATGGGATGAGAAAGGGGGACTGGGGAGGGTGGTGAAGTATCAGGAAGAATGTCTGGAGGGGAAGGGTCTGGAGAAGGACACTGTTGTGACAGAGGGGATTCGTGTGAGTATTCAAGTGGAAGCAGTAGGGAGGGTGGAGTATATTGGGATGGTGTTGGAGGGAACTTGAGGAGGAGGAGGATGGATATCTGCATATACTTTAAATGTAGAAGGAGTAGGAACAGAGGGATTGGGGGGTGGATGATAAAAGGAGACAGATATCTAAGGAGCAGAAGAAGAGGAAGGTGTAGGAAAGGATATAGTAAGAGAGAGTGGAGTGGAACATTTAGGTTGCCTGGTGCGACAAATAAAGTGAGGAGAAGGGGTAGGTCTTGGGAAGTGGTAGAGCTTAGAGTATCTGAATTTAGACTGGAAAACAAATTTGACTGGGGGATAGGGTGAGTAGACATAGGGTATAGGGTATAGGCAAGCGATACTGGGGGAGACGCAGAAACATCTTGTGAGGACGGTGGGGGAGCAGAGCAAAGGACTGTTTTGGAATCAGTTGAGAGAGAAGAACTTGGTTGTCATGCTTCTTGTCTGGTCTCACATAGAGTGAGGCCTAATTTGAATCTGAGAACTGCTACCTCACATTTGAGCTTCTGGGCAAGGCAGCTCCTATAAAATACATTATACGAGTCTCCACAATTGGCACATGTACGTGACTGAGCAGGGTAATTTGAACGGTCACAAAGAGGGCAGCGGGCTGTGGAACAATAGTGTTTAGCTGGGCGACCAAAATGTCAACATTTCTGACATTGACGAGGAAGGAGTCGATATGGTCGGACATGGTAGGACAATCCACCAATTTGAACTTCATTGTGGAGGTCATGTCTACGGAAGCTAATCTTTGCAATATTGACTTGGGACTTATGCTGGTCTCTGGGAGGAATAACGTAACATTGTACTTCCACTGCATCCTAATCAGCAAGGCAGGTAAGGTCATTTTCACAGTCTGACCAGTTCTTGTTGTAGACAGGACAAGCAGTCAAGGGGATAGAAACAATTCTTGTAACAAATATTAAGAGAGGGACAAGGTTCATCAGTAACTGAGAGCAATACCTACAAATACTGGAGGTCATCAAAAAATATAAACAATAATCTTAACCTGCTAATCTAGATTCTTGCTAGGATCTTAATGGAAGTTATTAAATACTATGAGATATCAATAGGTGCAATGACCGAGTAAACTTTTTTTGTGAGCAATAATTAAAAAATAATGATGACGATAAAATCAACACTTACAGTAACAAGAACAACAACAATAATAATAATAATAATAGTAATAATAACAATAATAACAATGATGATGTTGATAATAATAATAATAATAATAATAATAATAACAACAACAAAATACTAAAAATAACAATGACAATAATGACAATAACAACATTAATGATGATGATAATAATCATAACAACAATAATAATGATATAAACAGTAATAGCAATAATGATAATCACAAAAATAATAATAATTATTATAAAAGTTCAAGAAAAACAATACCAATAACAATGATAATAATAAAAAATAACAATAACAATAATAATAATATTAATAATAATAACATTATAATAATAATAATAGCAGAATAATAATAGCAGTAATAACAAAAATAATAATTGTAATAATATAATTATAATAATATAATAATAATAATAATAATAATGATAATAATAATAAAAACAATTAAAATAAAAACAAAAACAATATTAATAATGATAATAATAGTAATAACAATAGCAATAACAACAACAAACATTAATGGTAATAATAATAAAAGCAACAAAAATAATAATAATAATAACAAAAGTAGCAATGAAAATAAAAAAAACAAACATAGAAATGACAATAATCTTAATAACAATTACAAAAATAATAATATTAATAATAATATCAATGATAATAATAATAACATTAATAATAATAACAATAATAATAATAATAATATAATATATAATAATAATAATAATAATAATAATAACAATTACAATAAAATAACATAAATAACAACAACAACAACAACAAAAAAAATAATAATAATAATAATAATAATAATAATAATAATAATAATAATAATATAATAATAATAATAATAATAATAATAATAATAATAATAATAATAATAATAATAATAATAATAATAATAATAATAATAATATAATAATAATAATAACAAAATAATAATAATATAATAATAATAATAATAATAATAATAAAATAAATAATAACAACATAATAATAATAATAAATAATAATAATAACAATATAATAATAATAACAATAATAATAATAATGACTATAATAATAATAAATTCAATAATAATAATGATAATAATAATAATGACAAAATAATGATAATAAAGAAATAAAGAAATAACTTCTACAACAACAATATTAATTATCATTATCATCAGTATCATAATCATACAACTCATATTAACAATAATACTTGTAACAATAACAATAACAAAAATAATAAAAATAATAACAATAATAAAATAATAATAATAATAATAATAACAATAATAATAATAATAAATAACAATAGTAATAAAAATAAAAAAAATAAATAAAAATAAATAAACAAATAAATAATAATAATGATAATGTAATAATAATTAATAATAATATAATAATAATAATACAATAATAATAATAATAATATAATATAATAATAATAATAAATAATAATAATAATAATAATAATAATAATAATAATAATAAATAATAATAATAATAATAATAATAATAATAAAATAATAATAATAATATAATAATAATAATAATAAAAATAATAATAATAATAATAATAATAATAATAATAATAATAATAACAATAAACAATAACAATAACAATAACAATAACAATAACAATAACAATAACAATGATAATGATAATGATAACAATAGCAATAATAACAATAATAATAATA